GAAAAATGATGTTTTTTAAAAAAAATGGGTGCCCCCCAGCTGCTGCTGCAGCATCTCCCCACGTCACCCCTCCGCCAGCCGGGCCTCACCTCTCGGTAGACATCTTCACCTCGTTGACCAGCCGCCGGATCCCCACAACCTGCCTCCAGAGGAGGAGCAGGCGGCTGTGCTCGCTGCTGAAGTAGGCGTTGAAGGACTGGAGGGAAGACAGGGGGAGTGAGGGGCTGCGGGGAGGGCCACCCGCTCTGCCCCAGGTCTGACCACCCTGGGAGGCACTGTCGCCCAGGGAGGGGGTCTTCCTGGGGGGTCAGGTCTGGGCCTGCACACAGGGCTGTGTCGAAACTGTCAGCCTCTCACTGCCAAGCCTCCCTCTGGCACTGGAAAATGGGTTTCAATGGCCCTGCAGTCCCAAGAGGCAGCGAGAAGGGCAGAGAGTGCTGGCACCGAGGTTTGCACCCCAGCCGCATGGCCGGGCAGGTTACTAACCTCTCTTTAAAATGAGGACAACAGCACCTACCATGCTCAGTTACTCTGAGAAATAGGGAAGAAATGAACACTCAGCACATGGAATGTGCAATCAAGGCCAACTATGATTATGACAACTATTTACCTCTCCTAAAGGGCTCACGTGGCCAGCAGGGCCTCCCGCTCCTTCTCCCGAAGCCCGAGTCCTCTCCACTCTACAAAGACCCTTCCCCTTGGCTCAGGCTGGACCCACCAGGCCCCACTGGCCTCCCAGAAGCCTGTGCCCACCTCCTCCTCACGCCTCCACGCCACCTCCCGCTGCTCCAGCTCCTTGCGGCTGCGTGACCAGTCACTGGTCACCTTGCGTATGTCCTCTCTCAGAGCCTGATTGGCTGAGCTCGCCTGGTCCAGCTGCTCTCGGAGCATAGCGTTCACCTGGGCCAGGCTGCTGCTCCTGGGTGGGACAAAGAGGGACCAATGGGCTCATGGCTGGAGAGGACCGCCCTGCCAGCCATCTCCTCTTCCTGCTGGGTGCCCCACCTCTGCTGCTCCTCCTCCAGGCGGATGAGGGCGCTCTCCAGGTCTCTGCTGTGCTCTGTGTCCTGGATGGGAGAAGTGGGCATCAGGTTGGGCACGAGGAGGAAAGGGCCTGCCCTGCCCGGCCCTGGCACCCACCCTCAGCCGCTGCTGCTCCAGCTCTGTGGATCTCTCCAACAGCTGCTGCTCCAGCTCTGAGCCCTTCTTCTTGTACTGGAGAATCTGGGGGTGGGTGGTGAGCAATGGTTAGCCCCAGGGGGTGGGGGCAGGGCAAAGTGAGCAAGCACATTGGGTAGGCAGGAGCAGGAGTGGGTGGCCCTGACCTTGGCCTGCAGCCGTTGCACGAGCTGGGCTTGCCGCTGCTGGCCCTCCTGGTAGGCCTGCAGCTTTCGCCGGTAGGAGGCCTGCTCCTCCTGCAGCTGCCTCCGCAGCTCCACGCTCTGCCGTACCAGCCCCCTGGGCTCCTGTGTTTCCAGCTCCCCAGGCTCCAGACGCACAGCCTGCTCCAGCTGCAGGGAAGGGCCCTGGGTGAGAGTCCTCCGTCTCCAGGGAAGGCAGACACAGGCCTCAGCAGGGAGCACCAGGCTGGGCCCAGACCCACAATGCCTTGCAGGCACATTTGGGCAAGCCTGGATGCGACACACATATGCATGGCCTAAGGCAGCCATGCATGGACACACAGATGGGGCATGCATGGACACACAAACATATGCATGCAAAACATAAAGAAGACGCACCTGGGGTAAACCTTAGAGGCCCTGGTGCACTGTGAGCCTCTCTTCCAAAGCAACTAACCCCCCTGTGGTTGATGATTCTTAGATCCGTGCCCACGTCTTCCCACCCCAAACCCAAGTGAGTTCAGGAAAGCCTATTGTTCCCATTGTATCTTAGGCCTACAGCAGTGTTAGTGGCATGTTCATAGAGATCATGAATTAATGGCACAAGCACATGTGAATACATTCAAACAGAGGCATCAATGCATGCCTACTGAGCTTAGAGACATGCACACACATAAGGCACACAGGCGGTGTCAAACATCCCCAGGGTGACACAGATGAGCTCCTCGGCCTGCCCCGACTCCCTCACACTCAGCACTCAGATTTGTATGAGGTGCACACGTATGTTCTATACCGTGTGGCTTCTTAATGCCTGAGCCCCGGCCCGGCCTCAGGCTCCCACCTCTCCCTGACCTCATGGGAAGCCTCTGCTGCCAGCGCCCTTCCTTCACCCCCCGGTGGCTCGCAGCCGCTCCATCGTCAGGCCCTGTGGGCACAGGAAGGAGGCCTGCCTGGCCCTGGCTGCTCCAACAGCCTTGGAACCCTCTATCCTCCTTAGGCACCTGCTGGTCCCAGGGGGCCCCTCAGACTCCACCTGTGGGGGAAGCAACTGAGGATGAGTGGGACTAACAGGAGCCACAGTGCCCAGGGCGAGCCAACAGGAAGACAGCCTAGCCTCATGGACTCTGGCACCAGCCCACACTCACCGCCTACAGCCTGGGCAGGGCATTCACACGTCCACCCACGCCCAGTCCCAGGGCAGCCAACGGCAAACACAGCTGCTCGCCCCCACACTAACAACGGGGCCAGGTTAGTGGCAGGTGCCGGTTCCCTCCAGCTGTTCCCTGCACTGATCCAGTGCGCTCAGGAGACGCTTAAGGAGCCACTGAGAAAGCTGGAAACAGCTTCCTCTCTGCCTCCCCCCTGCCCCGAAGGACAGCACTGGGGCAGGTGACTGTGGCCACTGGAGCCACCCACAGGGAGGGGCTGGTGGGGGCTTCAATTCAAGTTGGGGGAACAACTCGGTCTGCAGGTGTGGGCGGAGGTGGTACGCAGGTCTCTGTGAAGGCTGGGCTGCAGGCCTGTGACCAGTGTCTGCAAGCCGTTCACCTCAGTCAGGGGACCGGCAGGGTCCACATCCGAGCGTGCCGGCGGTGGCACTGAAATGCTGTGTGTTGTGCACCGATGCAGGTGCATCTCACGGGGGTGAGTGGGGAGTATTTTGTCATTTGTCTCCACCTGGGACCCTGAGCAGCTCCGTGTCTAGGCCTTCGGGGGACCTGAGAGAGGGGGTGTCTGTGGTCGCAGGTCTACATTGTGGTGCAGGTGGGTACGTCTGTGTGTACCCGTGTGTTCACATGTTTGGGAGTTGGAGCATGTGTCTGGGCTCTGAGTGTCTGTGATGTGTGTGTCGGTGACTCTGTTCTCTGTGCTGACCTTTGGCTGTGTGTCCCCAGCATGTGAGACAATGTGTTGTGCGCAGGATGGATACATCACTGCTGTGACTGTGCACCTGTGTGAGACATGCCACACCTGGGTGGGACTGGGTGGTGTCTGGCAGTGGGTGCAGACTCTGCAGTGGTGTGTTTGTGCATTTGTGTATGTCTGTGTGGGTCTGACTGGCTGTGCTGTGTGTTTTACACAGGTTTTTGGGCCAGGTGCTACCTGCTTCTGTGATTTAGAGGGGCTCAGGCGGTCATCAGGTACTCCACTTGCTTCCCCAGGGCTCAGAGCCAGGCCCGGGTCACTCCCAACCATACCTCGCCCCTTTCCACAAACTTCACCCTCACAAAACAGCCTTTCAATTTTACTAGTAATTCAAAAGGAGAGAAGGGTATCACCAAGCCAGGGATGAAAGAAGTTTACAGTCTCCCCTAGCAACCACTGCCCTAGTACCGTTATTATTCGAGTCACTCTATCCAGGTTGCCATGGACACAGGGAGCCCAGGGAGCCCATTCTGTAGAATCCATGGGGTGGCCATTCCCTCCTTCCCATCCCAGCTGCCTCACCCAACACCTGCTCCTCAGGGACAGGAAGAATGGGGGGAGGGGTGGGAATGGGGGGCTCCACAGGGAGCTTAAGGGCCTCCTTCTGAACTTGGAGGTGGCTGCCCTTTGCCTGTCCCGCTACATGCAATCAACAGGACACAAATCCCTACCTCACCTCCACTCTCTTTTCCCAGGGATGCTGTGGCCCGCCAACCTAGCCCACATGCAACAGTTATGGCCACAGGGGCAAGCCTGCCACCTGCAGCATGGGAACAAGGGGGCAGCAGGGACAGACAGTGCCACAGGCCCTCAGAGCCCAGACCAGGGCCTCATCCCAGCTCCACCACTGACCCTGGGCCCATCACACTCATTTCTGGGTCTGTTTCCCCACCTGCAATAGGTGATCTCCAGACTCTGATGTTCTCTGTGACCCACGCAGCCCCGGAAAAGGCCCGGAGGTCATGCTCATGCAATCCCTGCCTCCGGGGGGGCACTGACACCATCTCCCCGAGGACAGTCAAGCACCAGGTTCATTCTACAAGTTACTCGGGGTCTCCCTGGCCACATGGTAGAATTTTCTAGACTTAACACAGACCCCTACTCCCGTGCTGAGGCCCCAGCCCCAGCAGCCGTGTCCGAGTAGAAAAAGGAACCTGTCGCCTGTCCCCTCTTCTTCCCTTCTCCTGCCAGCCAGGGGGGCAGTGCTGGCTTCATTGTCAGCCAGAACCTGGCATTTAAGAGGCAGCCCCCCATGAGCCTGGCAGCGTGCCAGGGGTCAAAAGATGAGAGGCCTAAACTGGGAGGGGGTTGGCTCAGGGCCCCATCATCACCGACAATGTGGAACTCGAGCCAGCTGGCCCTCCACACCCCCTGCAAACCTTGGGAAGACCGGCTCTGAGCTATCCCCAGTGCTGGGGGCCTGCTCCCTGCAAGTCCCAACAAGTCAGGGGCCTGTCCGGGCGGGCAGACACCAGGACACAGGCACAGCCTCCAGCCACACTCAGAACTGCTCAGCCTCTTCCCTACAGGGGTGTGCAAGCCCCCGCATGAGCAGGTTGGCACAGGGGTCCTGGTACCTCACAGGGGACCCTGAGCAGCTTCAGTCTCCCATTTGCAACATCAGAACGTCAAGGCTGAGGTCCTTCCAGCTTCCCAGGGGCCAGCTGCCCCCTGGGACTCCCAGCCCAACTGTCTCTTCCCACCCCCAAGAAACAAAGCGGTAATGCAGAGCCCTGGGCTGGGAGTCGAGAGACGAGCATTAATTGGCGGTGTGACCCCAAGCACAGTGCCTTCCCTCTCTGAGGGAAGCTGGGCCGGCGTGGCTCGGTGGTTGAGCATCAACCAATGAACCAGGAGGTCAGGGTTCGATTCCCAGTCAGGGCACATGCCTGGGTTGCGGGCTCAATCCCCAGTGTGGGGCATTCAGGAGGGAGCCGATCAATGATTCTCTCTCATCATCGATGTTTCTCTCTCTCTCTCCCTCTCCCTTCCTCTCTGAAATCAATTTTAAAAAAGAAAACAGACTCCAAGAGCAGAGTGATTTGCTCAAGGCCATTCAAGTTGGCTAAGCCACAGTTCGAACCCAGGCCGGCCTGAGTCCAGGCGCACCTTTTCGCCCAGTGTGCAGGCCTGTCCTGGACACCTCCCTGACCTCACATCCAGGGAGCAGCTGGCTCAACTCTCAGCCCCCAGGCAGCACCCACCCTCTCGCTGACCGCGTTGTACTTGATGGCCAGCTCATCACGCTCGGCACGGCTCTGGGCCAGCAGGTCCTCCACGCGGGACAACTCCTGCTGCAGCAGCTGGTTCTCCTCCTGCAGCGACAGCATTGATGCCATCTCTGTGGCCGACAGCAGGGCTGGAGAGGGACAGCAGGCATGTGGTTAGCTTCCAGCTGGGTCCAGGGGGACATCTTCCCACTCCAGGTGCCCTACCCATCAGTGGAGGCAGGAAGATGGACCAGGACCCAGCACCAGGTCACACAACAGAGAACAGGAAGGTGGGCAAAGCCACGGGCCTAGGGCTAGGCTTAGAGTGGACACAACTACAGCTGGTGTGGCCCCAGCAGGCCCAGGAGGTACAGGAAGGAGGCTCATTAGGAGTCAGGAGACTAGGCCCCAAGTTCTAGCTCCTTCCTTCTGCAGCTACTGCTATTCTCTGGATCTCAGTTTTGCAGATCTGTAAAATGGGTGGAACAGTAACCTGACCCAGGAGAGCAGGTAACTTCTGAGACCAGGGCTCAGGTTGGTCAGGTTGTAAGGAAGAAAAGGAGGAAGTAGAGGAAAAAAGGAGAGGCCACAGGGAAAAGGAACCCCATTTTGTGGGCTCCCTTCCACCTGATGGAACTGGACATATGCCACAGGCCTCTCGGCTCTCTAAGTCCCTGTCTGTGCCTCCCAGGGGCCCCAAGGAGGCCGAGGTTAGACAAGGACCATGGCAGGAACACCAGGAACACCCCCAAGGAGAGCTGCAACCTCCCGCTGGGACTGAGTGTGCCCCTCCCAGACTCTCAAACCGTGTATTTGGTGTGAGTTCCACCCACCAGAAGGAGCAGGGGCCCATCAGCCTTCCTGGGGGGTGGGGGACAGGGGGGAGAAGGGAGATGGACAGTACCACCCCCCTGCTTGGATTTCTGCAAAGCCCTGAGCTAAGCTGAACTGCCCCCCCGCCCCCCTTATAATCTTGGGTTCAGCCAGCTCACACCTTCCCTGGGAGAGAATATGGCGTTTGGGGTTTAAGTCTTTGCAGCAAGGAGGGGGTGCTCAGCCCTGCCTTCTAGCAGCAAAACGTGGGGAACACATCGGGGCAAATTACACCTCTAAGCCTCCATTTCCTCATCTGTAAAACGGGTGTACCTGCCTCCCAGTGGGGACACATGGAAGCTGCAGTCATTATTGTTGTCATGACTACTGAGCAGGGGCTGTGAGAAGAGGGAGGATGTGGGCAGTGGCTGTGCAGGGGAGAGGCAGGACGGTACCTGGGCTCTCAGGCTTGGAGAAGTTTCGGGTGACGATTTCCCTGAGGAGAGCAGGCAGGTGGGCGGGCTGACAGTCCTGGGCCGGGTCCTGCACACTCAGGCCGGTCTCCTGACCCGGCCCCAGGACGCTGCTCCCCAGTGTCTGCGGGGAAAGAGAGGGTCTGAGGGGAACCTGGGACCCTGGACTCTGTGGCCTGAGTGGGAAGGAGCAAAGTCCTGTCGCCCAAGATGTGGGTGCCTAGGAGACCGTCAGAAAATCCCCCAAATGGGTAGAAGCCTGGGAGTTAGAATCGCAAAAACCGCCCCCAGGAAGGACACGCTTGTGTGCCTCCTGCCAGGAAAGGAGGCTCCTCCAGGGCCAGAGAACCAAACCCCACAGCTGGCTCCAACCCAGATAGGTGAGGATCCCACCGTGCGTGCCAGCAGAAGTCACCCTAACCCCAAAATCTGGGAGGAGGGACCCCCATCCTCCGCAGGGCACTGGGATAAGGGAGCCACAGCAGTTGAGCCCTGCATACCCCTCTACCCTGAGTCCAGTCAGGCTGGGGGTGCAAACTGGAGCCCCTGTGCACCTCACCACCACACCTCTCCCACCACGGGACCCCCAAGATGCATCCACTCCTCACCGCTCCTTCCAGGGCAACTGGATGGGGTGGGCACAGCCCGCAGGACCCACCTGGATAACGGTCTCCAGTGCCAGCTGGGCCTCCAATGACGCCCCCAGCCCCAAGCTCATGGGGGGAGGCTGTGGGCACCCCTCTCCAGGCCCTTCTCCCAGGTCCCAGGCTAGCTCAGTCCACAAGCCCACCCCACAGCCAGACTGCAGTGCTGAGCACTGGGCAGATTAGGCTCTAATCCGTGCCCCCATGTGACCACAGGGTGGGAGGGGTGAGGAGGGGGAGGGGAGGGGAAAGCAGAGGAGGGGAGAGAAGGGAGGCAGAAGGGAACAGAAGGAAGATTTAGGATATCAAGGGGGAGGGGAATAGAGAGGGGGAAGGGGTGGGGGAGAAAGGAAAGGGAAAGAATGGAGAGGGGGAAGGGTAGGGAAGGGAGGGGAGGGACCATGAGGAAAGGACTCTCAACACACACACACACACACACACACACACACACACACACACACACACACACACGCTCCCCGACTGCTGGGTCCTAGAGCCCTCCAAGCTCAGGGGACGGAGTCAGCATCCAGGACACAGAAAAGGCCAGAGTTTTCCAGTTTTTTTAAGAATGTACAGGGGAGGGGAGGGCGGTTTGGCTCAGTGGATAGAGTGTCGGCCTGTGGACTGAAAGGGCCCAGGTTCAATTCCGGTCAAGGGCATGTACCTGGGTTGCGGGCACATCCCCAGGGGGAGAAAACTAGGTTCAGCTCTGAGTACAGAAAGCACAGAGGTGCCCTGGTCGGGTCCTCAGTTAGTCTGGTGTCACCCTGTACACCAAAAAGTGGTGGGTTTGATTCCTGGTCACGGCATATACTCAGGTTGCCAGTTCAATCTCCGGTCAGGGTGCATGCAGGAGGCAACCGATAGGATGTTTCTCTCTCATGTGAATATGTATTCTCTCTCTCGCTCTCTCTCTCTCTCTCTCTCTCTCTCTCGTCTCTCGCACTTCAAATCAATAAAAACATTTTTAAAAATCCCCCATGAGGACTTGTGTGTCTCCTTGCTTGCCCACCAGCTAGAAGGAAATAATGTTGAGGTCCCAAGGCCAGAGCCACAAGCTGGAAGGGGTCTGGGTCACCATGTAGAAAGCCACCTGCCAAATACCCAACAGGGCTTTTCATGAGCAAGAAATTAATTTCTGTGGTGTTGAGCCTTAGAGATTTCTGGGTTTTACTATCAGCTAGTAATATCTTTTTTAAAAGTATATTTTTATTGCTTTCAGAGAAGAAGGGAGAGGGAGAGAGAAATAGAAACAGCAATGATGAGAAAGAATCACTGATTGGCTGCCTCCTGCAGGCCCCACACTGGGGATGGAGCCCACAACCCAGGCATGTGCCCTGACTGGGAATCAAACCGTGACCTCTTGGTTCCTAGATCAATGCTCAACCACTGAGCCACACTGGCTGGGCTCAGCTAGTAATATCTTAATCACTACACACTGTTAAATAGTGGATAAGTGTTAGCTACGGTCTGTGTTATCGTTACTATCACTAGTATTACTGTCTTCCCAGCACCCAAACTAGACCCTGTGTCTGGTACACAGTAGACCCTCAGCCACTTTTTTGTAGGTCTAGAGGTAAGAACTGGCAAAAAAATCGATCAAGGATTACTCATGAGTTTCAAGCCCACGTATCCCTTTTTTATTCTCTGGTTGCTGGCTAGAAATCATAACAAAAATACTGAACCAACCATGAGTCAGGCCCTGTTCCCAAAACTCTGCATCTGTACTAACATTCTTGGCAGCCCTGTGATGTGACACTGTTCTACCCACTTTACAACTGACAACACGAAGGCGCAGTGAGTGAAGTTGAGTAACTTGCTCAAAGTCACCCATCCATGAAGGCCTAAGCCACCAGACAAGGTAAGACCCAGGTATGCCAGGAGGGTGGGGGGAAGGGGGAGAGATCAACCAAAGGACTTGTATGCATGCATATAAGGATAACCAATGGACACAGACACTAGGGGGGTGAAGGCATGTGCTGGGAGGTGGGAGTGGCC